CCGATGGCATTGCACTTTTCCAATTGGCTTGAATGCCCTAAACTTTCCACCTTGACCCAGAAATATGATGTGAACTGAGGAGTCCCCCACTAGTTTATAAAGGGACCCCACCCACCACCACTTTTTTCCACAAATAATACTACAATAATGAGATTGACTAGAAATCCCTGGGAACAGGTATACACCATTATAACTGGCAAACAAATGGGTCAAGAAAAATATGCAAAATTACTTTTTATTTTAATAATTATTAAAATTGATAAAACAATCAAATTTAAATACCTTCTTGTTACGATCAACGTATAAAAAATTATGACTACTATTGAAACATGAATTTTGACCATCATTTTTATTAGAGATTTTTTAGAAGTTGAGTTACAACTAATATATAAAAAAACTGAGTCATTTCTATTATTAAAATGAGAGATTGAATCCCATCGTTGTATATTTCATTAGTTATTAAATATATTTTTAAAATTTTTACTCACTGGTAATATACAACTTTGGTTCTAAATTTCTGTTATATTTCATAGCCTATACACATAGAATTATATGAATTAAGATAATCTAATTGAAAAATGTAATTTTTAGCATGATTTAATAAGGTCATAACAAAATGATTAACTAAAAACAAAAATAAATTTAAAGGATTGTATACGCTTTAAAATGTTTTATATTCATATAAATATTACTTTTATAATTATTTTTTATAAACAAATTATATTTAATTTTAATATACCGTAAATATAAAAAAGTTTACACTATCAATCTATTAAATTATATAATATACAACTTTTAAATTACTTATTACAATTTTTTTATTATAATTCAATTTAAAAAATTGTTCATATTCAATTCCTAATATTTTTTAAATATAAAAAATAAATACCTATCATACTCTAAATATTAACAGTTTTTTTTATATAATAGAGACCGATTTTTTACTCTTTTATATTAAGAACTGAATATTAATTTTTTTAAACTAATTTTAAAAAATAATAGTGTTTTTAGAAACAAGAAACTTATTTAACCCAAATATATAAAATTAACTTGTATAAAAAATTATACTAAAACATCACATCAATAACACGTGACAACATGTGTTTTGTCCTTCTTTCATGATTTTTGAATTTTTAATTTTTTATAACATTAATTGCAACTTTTAGTTGTATACATACGTTTTATCGAGAATAATTATGCAGTCAATCAACAGACAGAAGACTGGTCTTATTTTTAGGTTACGCTGGATTTAAATTTTCATTTATGTAACAATAATATTAATAACAATAATACATGATAAACCGGTATCAGCAAAAAAAGTGTTCAAGAAAATATATAAAAAAATAATTTCCATATATTAGTGAGCCTCGAAGTTTAGACAATTTTGGTACCGATTGAAGTTTAAACTTTGAAATGATAAAAATTACCTGAAAATTAATATTACAACAATATTTATAAATAAAAAATGATAAAGAAAGTCAACGACATCATGGCCGTTTGATGATTAAAATGAAATTGGATCACTAAAAGTAAATTTAAATAAATGGACTTCCCACTTGCATCCAACTGACAACGTACCTTCTGGTATTTAGTACTAGGCCGTGAATTTCCCTCAAGATAAACGTTACCATTATATTTTTAATATATTTTATATAATTACTTTACCATTCAATTTTGAAGGTACAAATTCAGAATTGATTATCAAAATATTATTACTCAAATTTTTTCAAATGTTACAAATATTTATGAATATAGTAGAAATTTTTTAAATTAATACTCGATAAATTAATAAATTCTCTAAAATAATAAATTAATCCAGTCCCGACTTGAGCTAATATAAAAAATTGAAAAACTCGATAAAATAATAAGATAATAATTTTTTTAGAGATCCCTTTATAATTTTCGGTCCCAAGAAAATTATAAATTAATAATTCATAGAAACTGAAAAAATATATATTACACTCTATTGAAATATGATTCAATAGTTGTCTGTTTTCCTTTAAAGTTCAAGTCTATTTGGAGCTCATCTCTAACTTTTCTTATTGCATCCAATAGCTCAGGTGTTGTATTTTTGTATTGTATCATAAAGTTGTGAAGAATGTTCGACGCCATAAATGCTTCCTTTCGCGTAACAGGCTCCAAAGACACTGTATCATCTTCGTCATCATCCTCTGCATTGTTCTCAATGATAGTATCCACAATATCTTCTAAACTCTGAACCTCCGAACATGCTTCATTTTCACCTGGGTAGTTCATTAGATTGTCGATATCCATCTTATTACGATAGTCACATTGATTGATCATAGTCTCAAGGTCTTGAGTTTCTTCGTCAAAAGTAGATTCATCCAAATTTCTTGCAACGTCACTATCTGAACGAATTTTACAGTGTCGGAAGCAATTCGCTATTGTTTCTTTTCGAACATCTATCGTCCAAGCTGGGATTGCCAAATTGATAGCATCAAGGACATTTATCTTCCCTAGATCAAATTGTCCCACCTCATAACCTTCCAATATTTTGCGGTAAAACCTTATACGGTAATGCATCTTGAAAGCTCTTATTATCCCAGCATCGCAAGGTTGAATCTTTGATGTCATGTTGGGTGGCAAGAAGAACAACTCAACGTTTCTTAGCCCTTCAATATTTCTTGGATGTGCTGGACAATTATCCACCACAAGTAGAACTCTTCTACCATGCATCATTTGGTCAAATGAACGAACATATTCATCAAAAAGCACACTAGTCATCCATGCTTTTTTGTTAGCTCGATACTGACAATTCAAGCTATTCATGTTGACATTCTTGAAGCAACAAGGCTTTGCATATTTCCCAATAATCCATAGAGGAATTTTTTCAGAGCCATCTTCATTGCAACAAATAACTACCGTCAGTCTTTCTTTATCTTGTTTTCTTCCTTCAAGTTGTTTTGTTACTAGTGAATGATCAGCTTGTAGCCTATAAAACAACAAAGTTTCATCCATATTGAAAACATCTTTCATACGGAACTGATCAATTTTCTCCCGAATCGATACCAATTTCTGCTCCATGTCTTGTATATCAACAGACCCACTCTCGCCAAAATGACGAAATGACTTTATGCCATATCGATGCTTGAATTTCTCAAGTCATCCTATAGAGAAGTTAAAATCTGAATCATCATGAGGGTACACGAGTTTCATTGTATCTCTTGCCTTCTGCAAAATTAATTCTCCTATGATATTCACACGTTCTTGATGCTGGAGAAACCACTCATAAACAACATTCTCCATGTTAAGATATTTTGCTGGTTTGTGTCTTTTGATCTCTGCTCTTCCCTTTTCTATTTTAGCAGTGAGATGGTCATCTGACCGCTTAAGTGTATTTGATATTGTTCCTTGACTAACTTTCAACTGAAATTTTCCCTCAAGCCATCTCTGCAAGTCTTTTTGTGTGCTTGCAGGATTATCTCTCTTATACCCACACAACTCCTTACGTATTTGATCTGACATAGTTGATTTTACAACACCTTTTAGATGAGAAGCCATCTTGTGAGATATGGTTTGAATACTCTAACACATTCATGTAATTTATATATGCCAAACTTGCTTAAGAATACATTGAATACATTTGTTCCTCTTGTTTACATTTACTATACTTCAAAAGTCATTATTGATTTCCAATGCATATGTAGTGTAGTTACTAATTTACTGTACGTTGAGTTCCAAGATTCGCTGCAACATAATTCTAAGAGGCATAGATTAATTTGCCTTTTTGTTTGGTATGTACAGTATAATTACTTAAAAACTCTTTAAATTAATAATTATTAATTTATCAATAAATTAATAACTCTTTAAATTAATAAATTTCTTCGGTCTTGATATTATTAATTTAAAGAGTTTTTACTGTAAATACTCTCGTATGTTTATTCAAAATTCTCTCTATGTCTATCTCTCTCTATATATATATATATATATATATATTGTCTTTTTTACGTGAATATGTGCTCATTTAAAGAATTTTTAGGTTGATGGTTGCATTAAACACGTTTAAATATATATCAGATAAAGCATGCTTATTTTCTAAAAAGTTTTTTATGAAGCATATGTCGTCTATTATGTAAAAAAAAGTTTTTTTTTTATTTATTCATTTGTCGTTTTTGTATAAGGCATGATAATTTAACAAAATACATTTTTATCTTTAAAGTATGATTTGTTTTTTTATAAAATAAATTTATTCCTGTTCAACTATTGTTTTAAAAAAAGCAAATTTTGTTAACATAAGAATTTAGTGTTGAGAGTGGTTGTAGAAGAAAGTTTTAGGTGATAGCAAAGGTGATAACAGCAACTATGCTAAAAGTAATAATAAAAGAGAGAAGAATGCAGCAATAATGACAAACACAATTACTCATCGTAATTAAGGTATGAAATGACATCATTAAGAATTCATAAATTTATTCTTAAGTCTCATGTATCAAATTATCCTATTAGAAAAATAAATGTGATTTAATATATTTTCTTTCTATTTTTATTTTTGCTTTTCTTTTGAATTAACAAAATAATCTTGTTCCTTTCCTTATTTTTTGTTCATCTAAATAACTTATTTAGTTTTCTTGTGAGTTTCTCCTTAATATTTTTCTTCTTAATTTTTTGAATTAAATTAATTTTAAAAACTATTTAATGAAATATCCGTATTTAACAAAAACACTAAAATAGAACCCTGAAATTTCTTGACAAGTTGTCACTATCTTTGTGCCTTTTGATATCTTCCATCCCATGCAAAGGCAAAGCACCACACTTTCCCATTGCCATTCATCGCCGTCGGTGCCTCGAGCTTGCGCGAATCTCTATCCATATCTAATCCTACGGTGATAAGCCAAAGGAACGCTAACCCATAAAAGAGACTACACGACACTCCAAATCCATGTCCAAGAATCCCCTTTTTTTTAACCACTTTCTTTAATTAAATCTCTTTATTTTTTCCTCCTTTTTCAAATCTTGTAGGCATCTTTCCCTCTCCTACTCTAGTCCAACAATAACAAACTGACTTTACAATGTTCCCCAAATTAAAATATATTCCTTGAATCCCTTTCTTTCTATTTCCCCTTATTTGACCATTACTCCCTCTTTCCCCTTCCCTATATAATGTTTCCACACCCTTATCTCTCTCTTCATCCTTCCCTTCAATCAATTCCCTTTTCCTCACTTGCGTTCACCTTATGCTACCAATCTAGCTTCATTTCATCTCATCCTTTCTTGTTTACAAAATTAGATGGAGGAAACTCTGGTGCCTAAGAGACCCAGAGAAGAAGCCCAAGTTGAAAAAAACTTGGACTTTGTGGAAGGGTACTCAAAGAGGTACAAGCCATACAACCACATACTATCACTTCTTGATTTAGAGGAAGAGGACTCCACACAAGACCTCTCCCCCCTCATGACAACCCTTCAGCAAGAAATCACATGTGCCTCTAACAACAACCCAAATACCCTTTTGGAGTGTGCACCTCTAAAAAATGACCAAAATAGCCTCACAACCACTTTTGCTTGTGTGGATGACACTGCAACATCACCTACTTGTTTTTGTACCCAACAAATGTTGAAGGAAGAGGAGGAAAATGATAAAGAGAGTGTCATGAGACATCTTCTTCATGCTTCTGATGATGAACTTGGGATTCCAAGTAGTGGAGATGGGTTATTGGGCTTTGAGCAAGAGGGGTTTAATAGTATAGATGAATTTTCTTCCTTATGTGACAAGTTATGGGAGCTTGAAGATGAGAGAGCCAATTACTATGCTTTGATGCAATCTGAACTCTTCCTATGGGGGCATTAGAAGAATGAAAATTACCAACTAGGGGAAATTATTGAGAAAAAGAAAGTGATTTAACATAGAACATAAAAAATAGAGAGGCAAATATTTTTATTTTGTTTAAATTTTTTATTTTTTTGAAGCTCTTTTCTTTTTTGTAAAGATCACGGGAAGCCTCTACTGTCGTTACTTATTATCTACTGTTTAGGCAGTGCCACTTTTACAGGTCAAGCTGTACTTTGCAGTGCATAATAGAAAAATGGGTTAGATGCTTACATTAAAAAAACGACCATTATTAGTCGTTGCTCACTTCTCTTTTTTTTTCTCTAATTTTATCATTGGACATTTACGTAAAATTCACTACGGTAGAGAGGCCGGCTAGCGTAGGTTCCAACTTCACTCTCTATTAGATGTAGAGTTACGTTATGTCCTCGTCCAATTTTTTTTAAATGATTTTATTGTTATTCCATATAATATATTAAATAAATAATATATATTCAGTACTTTTAAAATATTTTTTATAATTTATAAATATGTAAAATATTTCTTAGATGAATTAATTACTTTTCTTTTTAAGTTTAAATTTATAATTTATTATTAAATTCTTCAACATTAGTGCTTTTTTCGATTTTTTATAAAAATTAATTCATTATAATTAATATCTCTATTTATAATATATTTCAACATTATTTAAAATAATAAATGATTAAATTAACAAGTCATATGAATAAATATATCTATTTATACGAATAATGAAGTGTTTTTATAATAAATAAAAATTTAAAATAGTGATAGTTATTATTTATAAACAAAATAAAGAAAAAATCATTAGAAACATCTTTAAGAGTTTATAATAACTAGTTTTTATACAAAATAAAAAAAATTTAAAAATCCTTTTAAGATTTTTTCAATCTACCATGAATAGGAATGTGTTTAAAGTTTTTGCGAATGTGTTTGGATCCTTTTGTTAGAAGTGATTTTTGCAACTTTCTGGAAAATGATTTTTCATACAATTTTTTTTTTGTTAAACTATTGCAAACATGGGATCGGCCATTGGTCATCATTTGACAATTTATATCTCAATCTTCGTAAGTAAATTTCCCGCAGTCATATCTTGATCCATATGGTGCATTTAATAAAATGATGCAATATAAACTATTCAATGGATCGGTAATTTTGAGACCTAGAACGAACTCCCACTCAATTAATATTTATATTTTATATATTTTTGTTTTTCTTCTTTTCTTTTTGTTTTACATCTAAGAATGCAAATAAATAAAATATTTATAAACATTTAAATTTAATTGATTAAATTATTGATAAAAATAGTTTATTTTAATAAATAAATAAGCCCAACTTTAGTTCTAGTTTTGATTTTACAAGGTGATTTTTTTAGGTATGATTATATTTTTAAAAACAAAACTCTTGAGAATGTCATAATTAGGAATGTTATTCCTTTACAGAATTTAAAGTACATATAGCTAGATTTTAACATTTTTAAAATCCAGAAAGTTAGAGTTAAAATAGAAGTTATAGCTAAGTTGAAAAAATGTTTTCTTTCATTTGGAAATTTTTTTTTTAACTTTCATCATGAATATAAAAATTAAGTAGAACGATGTAATATTACTTTTTTGGGAATAAATAAAACTCAATAATGATTTTTTGAAGTTTATAACCCTAGAATCATATTCTCAAATTCACATTCTTGTACATAAATTTCGAACCCTTGAAACCAACAAACTTGTGAATTAAGCTAAACTTGTGCTAAAAGTTTGAACTCCCACATATTGGTTATTGACTAAACATTACATTGACTAATATGTTCCTCAATTTATAACCCTTGACTAATGTCTATTGGCTAGCAATTATTTTGATGGTATTTGTCTGCTATTAACCTTTTAAACTATCGTATATGTCTATTTTTAGCTATCAGCTTGTGGACTAATTTAATTTGTATGTTTGTTATAGCTACTCAACTTGTTGATTGGAGGCTCTATCAATCACATACCTAATTTCCTAAATCAAATTCATATTTCCAAAATAGTTTGCAAGTCTATCTCAGTTCAACAATTCTATTTTCGTCGGTTTACTTTAAATAATTGTTTTTGACTCAGCATTTATTTCTCAGTCAACAACTTATCTCTCTATTTAGCTTAATTAATACCATTTTAGTGTTAACATCTTTTTAAGGTATATGCATCTTAAGAAATATGAAAACACTTTTTCTTCACAGGTTGGGTGAAAACACTTTTTCATAAACTTTGTATATTTTAAGTCGGGAATAAATACATCTTCATATTTTCCATATTTCATACTTTTTTCTACTTTAAAGAAAAAAAATTCGAATATGTGTACAATTATGTTGTTGCACGGTGGACCACTTCCACTTGGATCGCATTTTACAAATTTTAAGGGGTAGAAAAAAAAAATTGACGGATAAAGCCTGTTTGGTCTGAAAATTTTCAATTTTTTAAAACTTGTAAAAATATTACATTGTATTAAAAAATATTGTTTTTATCAAAATTTTTGTAACCATGATATTTTTATCAACAAAAATAAGGAATTTGATGTTTAAAAAAAAAAGGAATTAAACCGTTCTGTCCATCCAAGTGGTCCAAAATGCTTACTACATATATAAAGATCAACAAAAAAATGATAAAAAGAACTGAATTTTTAAAATATAATTTTATAAAAAATATCAATGTGTGTAAAGTAAATAAGATTTTATAAAGAATTATATCTCATATTTTGTGGTCATATTTGGATTCTTTTAGATAAATATTGTCCAGTCACAGTTCATCATAGACAATTAAATACTTATCTAGTATATGTAAGGTTGTGGATATTAAAATTAATTGTAAACAAATATTTATATACAAAATGATGAATTAAGTGATTAGGAAATACATAACAAATCGTCTTTATTCAAAACATGAGAAGAAGAATTAGATAATGTCAATGAGATTATATTCCTCCGTTGACATTGACTTGAATATTTTTAAGAATTTGACTAGATATTACGAGTTTACTAGAAAATTAAGAACAGTTGTGAAGTAGTTGTGCTATAAAGGATATTATTTTGGTGACGAATAGTTTCTATTTATTACTTAAGTTTGTATATCAAAAACGTATTTTTTTTAAATTTAAATGATGATATTTTTAAAATTATATTTTAATATAAACATTATGATATTTAACTTTTCTTACATAATTTTAACATTTTATTTAACATTTATTTTATTTTTTAAATTTATTTCTTAATTTTATAATTTAGAATAATTAAATATAATCAAATATTTACTATTAATGATTAAACTTTATACTCTTTGTCAAATTTATAAAAATTTGAAATAATCATATAGTATATCTTTTATTTTTATTAATAAATTAATTTTAATTTAATAAGATTGATGCAATAAATGGAAAATTCCCCAGTCATAATTCAATGACTTAATTAAACTCTTTTATGTTTTGTCTTATTTATTTGTCTACCTTTTGGTGGTAGGCATAGATTGTTACGAGGAATTCCTCACTAATAATAAAGTTATTGGATTGAACTACTAAATCCGTAGATGAGACGGCGGGGAAGTATTTTAATTTAATTAAAATTTTAAGGTTAGATTATATGAATGAAATGAGTTAAAATAGAAGAAAATTGTTTTTATGATTATCAGATTGAATTGGAGCTATGAAAGTGAATTTAGACTTTAGGGTTAATCTAGTCTACTTTAGATTTGTGGTGATATGAGTTATTAAAAAATTGATTCATGTATTATTTAGATAGTTTTTTTACTTAGCACCACTTCAATTCACTGGTAAACATGGATTAATTTATAATTAATAACTTAATATTTTAAATACAATTACATCTTATTCTTAATTTTAAAATTAGTCTTTTTTATTTTCATTCTTAGTCATGTCTAAACAGTATTTAAATTTATTTGATCACTTAAGGACTAGTAATTAGATATTAATAACTAATAATAATAATAATATGTATATACAAATAATATAAATAATTAAAAATCATTTATTAACAGTGATCATAATTAAATATTTTAAAAAATATTTTATTATAAATATTATTTATTTATTTAGTGAGTTAACTGTGAGCTAAACACCGTTTTAAATGTGGGTTCGTGTTGATGTTGAATTTCGACAAATTGTGCCAGAGATAATGAGTAAATAAAACGTGTAAGTGTAAAAGCATTAACCTTTATTATATAATTTTTACGGGTGATTAAAATTTTCTTTTAGAAAGTGGATCGTGAAAAATATTTAACTCTAATATTAACGTGTATCATTAATTTTTATTTTAAAAATTATTTTTCAATATTCAAAAAGATTAAAAATAAATTTTTAAACATATACTTTTGTTAATCCCACCGTTCCTTTTGCAGTTTGCTCAAGAGCATGTTTACACCGCGAAGTAGGTTAATTGGTCTGTTCTACATAAACCAACGTATACAAGTCTCTGTACTCACCAACACCAAGCCACTCTCCTCGAACCAGAAGAAAGAAAATAAAGTGAGAAAAAATAAAATAAAATAGACGAATAAAAAAATACTTTTTCAAAATAATCTTTTAAATTTAGATATAATTTTTTTTTTATCTTTTTAACTGAGCAAAAAATTATATCGCTGTTTTTATTTTTATTCTTTTTTCTTTCATCCGACGTACGCAGAGGTTTATCGGTTTATGAATGGACCTGAATGTTTTTTTTTCAGATTTTATTTTTATTAGAAAATCCGATATATTGGTTGATTCAAATAATTTATAAACCAGCCACTTTGCCTGTTTCAAGTTGGCATATTAATTTTTATACATTTATATTCATATTTTATAATATTTTTTTATAATTTTTATTTTATTTTTTATCGCATCATATATTACATATTTTATATAATTTTTAATGAAATAATTTTAAATAATTAAGATTTTGTTTAAAAATATTTAAATAAGCATAGAGTAAATATTTTAAAATGCCAAATAAAATTTCGCATTAAAAAAAGATAAATCTTAGACATACAATTATAAACAAGTTTTATTATATATGCATTATATAATTAAAAAAAGTTATTTAGAATAAAAATATATTGAAATTTATAGTAAGGTTGCATTAAAACGTATGACGAAAATAAATTACTAACTGTTTAATCGATATACGTCACCTTTAATTTTGAATCAATATCTTGTTGACATTTTCTTACGAGTAATTTGATCTAAATTAATTGTAGAAAATATGTGATGTTATGTTTGAAAAGAGTATATTAGCATAGGAAAAACGTTTTGGATGGGGAGGATGAAGTGACACGTGACAGAGACATTGACCTGTGGAATAAGCATTGGCTTGCCTTGCCTATGTCTGCCATGTTCATGCCATGCTCTCACCTCCTCACATGCATCCAACATGCCTATTATATTAATCATTACAATTATTCCATACCCACGTCACATCTCTTCTGGATACATTCTTTTTCGCATCCATTTTGTGAATTTAATTTAAAGAATGAGAAAAATATTTTTTTTATAAGTTATTTTTATTTGAGAATTATTCAAGAGTAAGAAATTTTAATCTTTACCCTTTCATGATTTTTTATTTTAGTCATTATATTTAATAAATTATTATTTTTAATTTTGATGTGATTTAATAAAAAAATAATTGACATATGACAGTCTTTTAATATATTAAAAATAAAATTTTGTAAGAATGTAAAAACTAAAATAGTTTTAAAAATATAAAATTTAAAAATTACTAAAATATAAAATTTAGAAACATATTTACGACCCCTCTATTTACATATTACTTTAAATTTTGAAAAATATGAATTTAAAACAAAAAATTGTACGACCGTGAGTATTTTCTACACTATTAAATTAGTTTTTTTCAATTACAGAAATATAAAGTTTTAATAAAATTTCAGAACAAATTTTAATACAAAATTATCGATTATAATTTTTTGTATTTTTTCAAATATTTTATTATTATTTAAAAATTTCTATTGACAAATTTTTATTTTTTTAAAATATTTAATACGAATTTATGATATTTAGTCATTTTTTCTTTTATCTAAATTAAAAATTGTCAATGACAAATTTTAAATTCTATATTTAGTAAATTTTCAAAAAATTAAATATTTTTTTAATATATATTATTTTGAATATCATATAAAAAGTAATTCTTTAAATAAAAATTTAACAATTTAATATTGTTTTATGTTAATTAAAATTGATGTGGTTGATGATGCTAAAGTCTGACATCTGCATTTCTTAATTTGATATTCGCCTAACATGTGGCATGAACCGGTAAGATGCAGTGAAATTGAAATAGCCATGATATAGTGTTTGATGAGCATGATTTTTATTTATTTCCATGAAGTAAGAAAAGATGCAGAAGAAATTAACAATACCGTGAAATATAGTCTATCTTAGCTACGATCTATATAACCTTTGCAATTAAAACTATTAATAATACTCTAACAAATGCTTTTAATCATTGGAGAAGATTTATATATTTAATATGTAATATTCGTACAGACTTAACTTAATAATAATTAATGAATAGTAAAAATTTAAAATATTCATCAAAAAGTAAATTATTATTTAGGACTGTTCATTATTTTGGATCGATCAGTTAAATCAAATTAATTAAATTTGAGTTGTATATTTGGTTTAGAGAGTCCAGTCAAAGTACTCATTAGTTGGTAAAAAATATGAATAATTTTAGACAACCTTTTGTTATGTTTGATAAGACTCTTTTTTCTCTTCTTTTTTTTCTTAGTTTAGATGTTGCTGGATCATGATATTCTAGGTTTATAATCTAATTTTGTGTTATTTTTTGGGCTGTCTAGCTCCATTCATTAGCAAAACAAAATAAAAATAAATAAATAAAATTAACACTAAATTTGATTTGAGTATTAATTTCGTAATTTTGAACATGATGATTTGTTATGAAACTAATTAATTCTAATTATTCTTTATTCTTTGACTTTTTTTTATTTAAATATTATAAAATTAAAAATAAATTATTAATTTACTTATTTTTTTAAACTATTTTTCTATTTTAAGTGTGTGATTCACGTAGTAATAATTTTGCCAACACGTATCATAATATGTTTATTTTACATTTTTTATGGTGAAATTTATTTTTTAAAAATAAAAATTTAATATTTTTATCAATCGTTTTGGCAAAACAATTATCATGTAAATTAACACACCCAAGTCAAAAAAATAGTTTAAAAAAAATAAGGAAAATAAGATTTTTTTTAATTTTAGAATATTTAAATAAAAAAGCCTTACTTTTTTTGCATACGTGCGTAACATGATATCATTTTAATTAAAATGTTCTTCAAATCAATAAACTCAGACTGACTTCATAATTTTATTTTACTTTTCTTATATACACATAAGATAACCTACTTAAACTGATTGCCATTACTACCTCCATTTCTTGCATTATTAAAATCTTCTTTATTTGAACTTCTTTTCCCTCTTTTTGAATATATTTTTAAAACAAATCTGAGGCAGTATTGCTTAAAAATCGAGGTTCTTATCTACTATACAAAGTAAGAATAGATATTTAATTTTTCTAATTAGAAAATTAATTATTCAATTTGAAATAACTTTAATTAGATTTTGTTATACAAACATTTGTATTTCTGCACTGTCTATTCCTTTATTTATATATATACAGTTCAAACACATCCTAATTTACTCTAAACAAGCTTCTCGTGACAACGCATTCAACCTATCCAAACATTTGTTATTTATATTTGAAATATATATGTTTTAGCTGGTATGCAACATGCAACATGCAACATGCAACATGCAATTAGTATTCTCTAATATTAGACACACATGGACCAGTGATTATGATATATAGGAACAAGTTTCATTCTGATATGATAGCTTTTGATTAAATAAACGCGTGGTGGGTCCAATTGCATATAATCCTCTAAATTAGTTGCCTAGTTTCTTGACCTATCTATTGGGGCAAGTGACAAGTGAAATTTGACGACAAACAGAGTCCATCAAATCAAAACCCTCGGAAAACAATAGGGCCGTGCCGTGCCCGTCATGTTCCTTCTTCATCCTTGACGCATTCATCTTTGAATTGAAACTTGCAAGTCCCTCCTCTTACTTTTCTTAATTATCTTTTCCATTTCAAAGTTTGAAAGCGTTGTTGCATACATATATATGTTAACTACTAACTCTTGATTCGATACAATTTCATATGTTCAATCAACAAAATACAAAAGATAAAACAGTATGCTTTGTTAAGGTAATAATCTTTTGGTCTTCCTATCATTTATAAGAAATTAACTTCATTAATCCATAACACCGTAATAAAATACAACAATCTCTTTCACTTTTTTATTTATTTTTTGTCTATATAGAGTTTTCTTTCTAATCGTATAGTAAATAACTTTTTCATTATTTGAGTAACATCTTAATATTATAATATAGCAAAATTCATCCCCACTGTAAGAAAATGACACACGAGGGCTAACAAAGCTTAATTCACATGCTATTGCAAGAAAAATTAACAGCAAGATCAAACAAAAACTTACACGTAAATAAAAACAACTAGTAATTATTTAATATAACGTTCAACCTAATTTATTTTAAGTTTCTCATTTTATTAAAAAGAGCAGCTAAGTTGATCAGAATGTTTTTAAAAAGAGCTTTATAAAAAACTAATTTAGCGATCTTTTAGCTATATCTTTAGGTTCCTTTTTTACAAAATAATTTTAAATAGTAATTAAATTTAAATTTTTTTCCTTAAAATATAAATATCTTAGTTTATTATGAAATTTTCGTTTAACAAGAAAAGTCTTTCGTCTTTTAATTGTTTTTTTTTTTCAATCCACGTTTCTAATTTACTTTAGGTCTACCCACACATTGGGCTAGTCCTACCTAGCTGACACTTCTTTTCATTTTAACTTGAAGCTTTTGGTCTCTTTGTTTTAATTTATATATAGTATTTTAATTTTTAATTATTCATATTTAGTTTTATGATTTTTAAGTCTTGTATAGGTCTCACTTCAAAACTCTATCAAATAACTGATAGAATTTTAATTGAATTGTGATGTATCATTTAAGTATGAATATTAATTTTTTATATATTTTTAAAAGATTGTTATTATTTTAATTTTTATCAAAATTATTAAATCATAAATTATACTTTTTTTACTTGTTTAAACTAGTGATTTATATTTCTCTTTTAATTTTACCTATTTTCGTTTTGATTAGTATTCCTATAAATTTTACTTAGTTAAGATATTAAATATTTTCTTTAAGTAATAAAATGTTATAAACAATTTTTTTTAAAAATTATTCATAAAAGTTGATGTATATGTGATAGAATTATTATAAAAACACAAGTATCCGATAATTAATCATTCTGTGCCTAACGCAATGAGACTACATATTTTTTGAGCTCAAGATACAAATTATGGATCTAATAGCTTAAATCCAATATTTTTGGGTTCAAACAGCATAAACCATTTTTGAATGTTAAATCTCTTAAATTTTGGAAGATAAATGCCTTAAAAAGTTGGAACCCAAAAAAAAGTACATACTAACGTATTGACACAACTTTTTCTTTTTTGGTCCAGAATATACGTTATAGTTTTTGGTCAAACGATGATATATAACTTTAAACAGTAAAATGGGCCGTTTTTATTTCTCCATCTAATTTTCGTGTTAGTGGGCTGGGTTGAGCTTAAGCCCAGTAAAAGGCTCAGTTATACGAGAATTGAAGCCCTAGGCCCAATTTCTATCCCCTCCTTTCGCCCAGAAAGAGTGAGAAATTGAGAAACGAGAAACCACGTAGCGGTTTATCGAAAATGCAAGCGTTTCGACGAATCGCAACGTGCATCTCAACGGCAAAGCAATTCCACGTTCTACCACCCATCGTTGCCATGAAGCCTCGTTTCAATTCGGCCGGCGAAGTTCCGGCGACGAGACGGTGGTCGTCAAGCCGCGGTTCCCGGAGCGGCGAGGACGAGTGGAACGAAGCTTGGGAATCGGCGTGGCTGCCGGAGGACCTGACGCCGAAGACGCGAGCTCCATGGGAGACCGACGTCAACTTCGCTTCCTCCCCCGCCGAAGCGGACGCCGACGCGGAGACGAAGGCATTCGTGGCGGAGATGAACGAGAACTGGAACGAGCGGCGAAAAGGATCGAAGGAGAAGGAAAAGAGAGAAGAGAACGGCGCGCTTTATAGCTTGGGTTATATGAAGAAGGATTACCGGTTGAAGAAGCAGAAAATGCACGCTGGCTTGTGGATGAAGGAGATTGAGAAGCTCGAGGAAGCGAAGTTGGGCGATTCTGATGTTGCTGCTGCTGATGACATTCAGAGATTGCTTGATAGTTGCTCCGAGTATACCTTCCTCTCTCTCTCTCTCTCTCTCTCTCTGGTGGTCTTAAATTGGATTATGATTCTTAGGCGTAGTTTGATCGTGCTGATGGAGTTTATGATTATTATAATTGATTTGAGTTCAAGATGCAGTATCTTACAAAACATTGTGATTATGAAGAATCTTTTATTATCTAAAACCCTAAATCCTAGACATGTGCTTTATAATGCAAAACCAGAGGTGCTGGTGTAGAGGTTTAAATTCGGGGACTGTTTTTGGAACTTATTGTGTGATGTATTAAGAGTCTGAGCAAGGTACAATGTGTGTTTGTAATCTCTGTTGTGTTTCATGCTTGGTATTGTCGTTATAGTTGACCACTGATTTTACCAATTATTCGTGCTTTTGGTGATGAATGGCTCATGAATTCATGACTGGTTTTATGTACCTAACTCTCCCATCGTGCAATGGGCTTGAATTGTGGGCAATCCGTAGAAATACCCTCCCATTGTGTTGAAAATTCTACTTGTAAGAAATGGAATGGCAGAGACTGAATTTTTGAACAGTTGGTTGTCGAATATCTAATCTTATGCTAATGATTAAATGACTAAGGGTATGTTTGTTAAGAGTTTCTCTTTTTAAAAATTAAAAATACATGTAATTTAAGTTTTTAAAAAGAGAAAACTCTTTTTAAAAATCAAACAAACATACTCTATGTCTCTAACAAGTACTTTTTCTTTCAAATGCCAATGATACCGCGTTGCCTTCTGAGAGAGTGGGCAAAATAGCAAATTACAATATATGGAGAAGTACTGCTGTTTTATTTGTGGGGAATATAGATGTGTTTTCTTTCACTTCAGAATTCTCCTCCCTATTCATGGTTTGGTATTAATTTATGGCTATTTAACCTTTTTTTAAAATTTATGTTATTCTTCTATTTTGTTTAACATTTCAATATAGATGTAGGTCCTTGCTGCGTTGTATACGTGTAGGAATTTTCAGTTCTCTTGTTTCTGTGTTTTGGTGCACATCAATGTCTCACAGCATCATAAATAATTTAGCTGTAGGCTATTGCGTGTTCAGCTTTCTCAAATGTGACACATGCTTTAATATTTATGAATTTGTACTTAAATGATCTGAACAAATGCAGCATTTTTGACTCTGGCAATAATGATCTCAATGCTGCACAAGTTCAAACTTCTGAGTTCAAAAACATGCCTGATGGGTGGGAAACAATATCAAAAAATCAAGACGGAAATATATGGGAGATGTCCCAGAGAGAAGAAGATATACTTCTCCAGGAATTTGAGCGACGAATTGCCTATAGCAAGTTTCAGGTGTGTATTCTAATCCCAGTATAAAGTATTGGTGTTGTCTTTTGGAATTATGGAATATGATGTAAATAATCTTGGAGTTTCTTCCTAAATTATGCTCCTTTTATCATTCACAAGTCACAACATTGTAAAATATATATGCAGATTGCTAGTTTTATCAAGACTCACATATTTAGCCGGAGAAGGCCAATCGATGGGTGGAAATACATGATAGAGGTGGTGGGACCAAATGCTAAGAGAGGGAAGGGTAGTGTTTCTAGAGTACCCAGTCTCTCTGATTCCTCTACTCAACCATTCAAGGAGGAGAAGACTTCAGTTGATAAGACTTATGTTCCCCTTGAGAGAAGGTAGCTTGGTCATGTACTTTTGTGCATTCTCTTTTACTGTGCAAAGGTTATTTGATTCAAATATCGGTGAGTAGTGGACAGTTACTGCTACTTAGCCTTTTGCTGACACAACAGATGGTCTCCATGGATTCTCGGTTAAGGTCCAAACCCTGCATGAAGTATAAAAAGCTAGTGGCAATATGACCCAGGATGAACGTGATACTAATTAAGTAGTCGAAAGGCAATGTGCCATGTTAAATGTTACTTTAAGGTTAGCGTAAGTAATTAAACGCAGGAATTTAGAACTAGATAGGTGGATCCTTTACAAATTTTAGCAGTTGTTTAATATCTGTGGCTATATTTTTCTGTACTTGTTCTAATCACATGAAAAATGCACGGGAAGATTCTTCGTACATTGTTGATACATCAATTTAGAAACGTGGTGTACTGTATATTAATTGAACTCCCTTGTAGAACTAGTGAAGACTTAGTGCACTCTGTGCCTGCTAAAGCATAGTAAGCAATCGATCCCATCAGACTGAATGTATACTATCAATGTACTTAGTGGCATGTAGTAGCTTGCTTTGAGTGTGCTTTGAGTGAGCGCATTTCAGGGAGGGGAAATGGATGGGAAGAAACATGCATTTTATAAGTGCAATCTCAGAAAGTTCCTAATTGAGGCAGTGTTTAGTTCAGTGAAAGAGTGCAATCTACATGTGAGCCAAATTGAACATTCCGAAATAAATTTAAAATGTAACCCTTTTTAGCGGGAGAAAGCTCTTTTAGAAAAAATTAATTTTAAGAGTTTTGGTCTTCTACTTTTCCCTTTCTTTATTTTTAACTTTGTGATTCAAGAATGACTACCGAATAACTTTTTAAAGTAATTTCTAAAAGCATAGAATTACTTAACTTTAAATTTGAAACTTGTTATTTTTAACTTCAATGTTGAAGTAAATTTGAAGTTTAAAAAATTAATCGTAGAAGACATTTAAAATGTTATTCGGTAGCGTAGAGGTTCAAACGAAGGATTTTTATTCCAAGTTGTCATGCTCCGCTGAGTTATGTAATGTAACCAGTTTTATAGCACGGTTTTATCTTCGTGTGTTGACATTTAAGTCCTATTTTTACTTCCATGTTAGGAAATACCAAATTTAGCTTATTATTTGTCAGGTTTTTGCAGTGTATCCATGAAATAAGAACTATTTTTCTTCCGCTACAGAAGACCGCAGGTGCATCATTTCAACTGAAAATTTGAAGAAACCAATTTAATTTAATGGAGTGCAATGTTTGATTTTCTTTTTTCATTCATGGTACAATGGTGATAACGAGGTTTGAATCTATAACTTCAAGCAAATTGTTTAAATATCTCAGCCCTAGTTTCAATTATAGTGATTTAATTTTTGACAAATTAAAAAAATAACAATGTTATACTCGGTAATAAAAAATTAAAAGCAAAATGAAGTAAATGCAATTTTTTCTTTATCCTGAGCCATTTCGAGATAGTTTATCAAGTTCTATAAATACACCCAGCAAGAGTTCTTGCAAGGAAGATTTTGATGCCTTAAGTAAGGCTAACACTTGGGGGTAAAAAAATGGCAATAGTATGATTGGTGGTGGTTTCTAATAATCTAATTGAGATAGGAGCATTTATACGTAAGGCACTAGAATCAAAAGTAGTTCTAGATGTCCACATTAACTAGTATTATTGCTTGTGGTTTTACTCCGTCGTTGTGACCAACCTTGTCTTCTAACAGCGAGAAAACAGTAAAATCTTAGGTTCTATGTCGGTTGGGTAGTGGACAGATATATTTAAATATTTTCTTAGACACTTGATCTTTGGCTCATTGGGAGCCTCAGTCCCCTCACAAAGATGGGGAGGGGCAATGTTGGATGTTTATCTTGTTATCTGCTGTGCTGGTGATAGAATTTGCTGTACACAAAATTCAAATTTTGTTTATACTCAATACAAAAGGAACACATTTCACGAACGAAAAAGCCTTAAAGTGGTGGGCTAAAAATTGAACCAGATCAATGGAGCGGCATAATATAGTAGAAAGCTTCATCGCCAGTGATCTACACACACGGCTAAGGATTTCTAATAAGTATTAAGTAGGTATACAGACTGTCTCAAAGGATTTTAATGCTTCGAAGGGGTGACCCACCACCATGCTAGATTTTATTTCTCAATTTTTGGATAGTAAGATACAATTCCTTCAGGTCCTACAGCACTTTTCAATCAGTACACTTTGAATGGACCCTCCAAACAAACTCACATGACCATCTATATAGCCCCTTAAATTCTAGAGTATATCTCATTAAATGTATACGCCCTTCAGCTATTTAATATCAATTTGGCCTAAACTCTTGGAAACATATCCAAGTGAATTTTAAAAGGTCACAAATTTTCCACTTAATGCGATGAAGTGATTATGTTGGAGGTTAGTATTGGTAAAATTAAATCCACAATTGTTGATTCATTGAAGTTTTGGATTTATTTTTCTCCAATATCTCACATCCTGCTTTCACTGAGCGTGTGTGTTTGAAAAAAAAAAAAAGTCAAAACACAGGAGAGAATTGGAGGAAATCAATTGTAATTCTGAGCATTTGTGAAGAGATGGATTTAATTTACTCCAACATCTCACCTTCTCTCAGCACTCATCACTAAGATGAAAGCAATCTAAAATTGGCACGATTTCTATCATTCCCCATTTCTTCTTTTTTTTTTTTTATCCTTGTTCCTTATGCCTACTTGCCTACTTTATAGTTAGGCAAACTTAATATAATGCTTCAACCTGAACTGAACACATCTAAATTCATTAAATAGTTCAAGGGTTAATAAATTCACTAAAATTGTCGAAGTGACAGAAAGTTGAAGGGTTAATAAATATAATCATCATCAAAGATCATATAATTTCCATTCCTCCTTGCTCTAGCTTCCCTGTCAGCCTGCATATCAACAATTTACAAGTTTTTTTTTAAGATTAAAATAAACATAATTGAACATATTTTCATGTTTATATAGCATTATAAAAGAACTACCTACTTCCTATAAAATTTAGTACGTGAAAACGATAGATTAACTGTGATTTTACAGCAAAACTTTTTCAATTTTTTTCATCCATATCAAACAACTATATGTTTCTTTTTGGTCCCTGTTATTCTTTAATTTGATGTATGCACACTCCTATTCTTTCATTTGTCTCACAGATAAAATAGAAAATAGCTGTAATTGATGTCAATTACGAAGAATTAGGGATTCTTGGTTTTCCATTTCCGCATATAAATGCTTTGGGCTGATTTTTTCTCTCTCAAGCAACTCAAAACCGAAATAATTTTCATTTTTATTTTAAAGTAGTTTCCAAATCCAGGTATTGGTATGAGTTAAACTAAGAAGAAAAAAAGCAATTCTATAATATATAATGACTAAGGAGACAAATCTCCCCATTCTTCATAATAGTCTCGGAACAGTTATATCAATTATGTTTTGGTCTTGCTTCTAAGATCTATAATCTTTAAACAGTATTTTTCATTCATAATAAAATGTATCAATTTTATATATTTTAAATCATCCTAGGCTTAGGGAAAGTCAAATTCATGAGATTAACTTTAAAACTATATATACTTTTCACCGGAAAACTCAATGAGCAATATATGTTACCTTGTTTATGAGTCTTTCAAATGCTTCTGTTCCATGCTCTTCCATATATCTCTCAGCTGCAGTAAGGACATCATCTTGCTTACTAAATATATTCTTTCGTGGAACATACCACATTTGAGAAGCTCCTGGGAATTGCGGCATTTGTGGATTCATATAGAATGGTCTAACGTAATGCCTATAAACATGTGCTGCCCCATTAAAGTGTGGAAGAACCAACCAGCAACTGAGAATCAACTTAGCATAAGGCCAAATGGCAAGCCTGAAATCAGTAACATAATTATATTGGAAAGTTACAGTGGAAACCTCTAAGAAATAAATTTTAATGACAAGAAAATTTGGTAACCTTTCGAAAGACAAGAAATCAGAGGTGAATAATTAAGCTTGATTATTTAAATGAATCAAGGTTATATCTACTGCTTACCTCACCTTATTTTTTAAGAGATATTTTAAATAAATGACCTTCGATCCTCATGAAAAAATTCTTGCATCTCCATCATCAAAATTTTATCTTTTACTGTTAAGCCATTTTTTTGAACAATACATATATTATTTCTATTTTATTGTTCTTTTAAATCCAACATTAATAGCTTAAAAATAAATCCCATAAAATATATATATATTTTTTATAAATACAATAAATCAATTTAGAAACAAGCAGAATAAATTAATTTAAAAATAATCTCAAACTTCGTATATTGTCAACAAGTCAAACTCACGTTTCACACTTCAAATTTAACTCGTTTAAATAAACTAGACAAACTTGAACAATCATTTTTACCCCAAAGGCTAACGTGAACTTTTCCAAGTGTTTAACTTCACTCAACTGGTTTATACACTTAATGATAATCATACAATGTACCTAAAAAAACAGTATTACATACCAAAGTCTTGTACAGCTTGCCTAACATGATACCAAAAATATATCAACAAAAAATAAAACTATTAACTTACACTTCAAGAACTTTAGCAAATGTGAGCTCAAAGAGTGTGATCAAAGAATAGAGAACCCAATAAGTGAGCCATTGTTGATCATCCGTACTAGACTTGGTCTCTATGGCCTTTATTGAAGCGTATCTATCACAAACATAAACTTAAAACTCTTATACACATTACATGGCTCCACTGTAGTACAAAAAGTCACAAACACAAGTCCACACTTACAAAGGGTAAACGAGGGTGACCAAAGGCCTGAAGAAAAAGCAACAAACAAGTAATGTAACTCAACACTCAGAAAAGAAGGTTAAAAATTTATGTGAATCTACATCATATAGTGGCATCAAAGATTAGAGATATAGGAGAAAAGAGGCATACAAAGCAAGAACATCGAAGTTTTTGGCCACTACTTGGAGAAAATTGTTCCCAGAAGCACCCATATGTGTTATGTTTTGTTCTCTTTTAGTGGGGTGGAACTGAGTACGAGGGTATACAGAGAGGGACAAGGGAACAGAGAGAGAGAGAGGCTTGAAAAGGAGTGACAGTAAAAAGTAAGAAAGAAAATGGAGGAAAGGTGGCAAAGTTCAAAGGGTCCCAATAAAAAAAATGAAAATTTGATTTGTTTGAAAAGATGTAATGCATTTAAGCACGACAATAGAGGCACCGAAATCCAATGTTTCTTTCTTTGTGGACCGTACATTGACACATTTATGCAGTGATGGGGTTAACTCTGCCAGCTGTCGGCCACACAATTCACTCTTTTTATCAAATGGCATATACAAACATCTTGAATATCTCAAACTCTTCTATCTTATTTAACTTCTCAAGAAAGATCAAATGGATTACCCCTCCACAAATTACATGGCATGTATTATATTTCCAAATATATCATATGAGTTTGTTGTGTGAATGTCATGGCATAAGCAAATGTCATGAAAGTTTGATGTCGCAACACAAGTTGATAAAGTGAAAATCAATAGTGTGCAAATTCAAGAATTATCACCATCTTAAAACGTGTTTTCATGCATTGGTATACTATACAAAGATCATTTTAACTTAAACTTAACAAAATTTTTAATCACCACTCGTTATCATGGAGGTGGGAGGATAAAAAAGGAAAAAAAAAGGAAAAATCAATACGGAGTCCTCTTAGAAAAGAAAAAGAAAAAGAAAAAGATCTTGAAGAATAATTTGGAACACATAAGAGTATGTTTGTTTGCGTGGGATGTTTATTTATTTTTCACTCAATAATAATATGTAATATTTCCAACACTCTTTTAACATATGTTTTCTTATTAATAAAAAAATATTTAAACTAATAAAATAATGTGAATCTTAATTATCATCTAATAAGTCTCATTTTTAATGTTGTAAGTCTCAATAATTCGTATTCAATAATAAAAAAATATTTGAAAGAACATGTTATTATCATTTATGTCACATGTATCCTTAAAAACTAGAAGGTAATAATCGATAGCATAAAAATCTAATGGCTGAAGTATCTTGGACTACCCATTAAGTGTTGGGCTTATCAAAATAGGAATGTGGGCTTCGACTCATCCATCCTTTATCTAGTTAACAGAGATTTGGGCTTTTTGATCAGAGAAACAAGTTTACATAAAAAGGCTATTTTTGGTCTTGGGCCTGCTGGAACATGTGCTTAAATAAATAATATATATATAATTTCAGATTTCGACCTTTTCAGGTTTGTTGGTGGTGATATCAGAGTGACGCAACGTAGAATTGAAATGAAGTTTGTTGTATATTCACTTACAGAACCACACCCACAGGACAATAAGTCAATAATGCAATACACTTTTTATGGTAAAATGTGACAACAAAAATCAACAATCGTTTGTCTGATTGCACATCTGTGACTGACCATATTAATATCACAAAAACCTTGAAAATTTCTTTATGAGGGAATGTCTCTGCGTAAAGCCAAGTTACTAAGAAGATGTTTGTCTAATTAATACAACATTTTCAAGACCAACCACTTAGTTTTACTTTTCTTTTAATTATGCTTGACAACTAATTAACTTCCAACCATCATCGTTAAATACACAGCCAGGTTGTACGTTCAGGTGTATCTACTTTCATTCTTCCTTTTCACATTCCTTTTTCGATCTACCACGATTTGACAATTAAATAATTATACAAAGTTAGATGATTAAAATGATTTTTTTTGTTATAATACAAACTTCACAGGTCAGAACTATGACAATTTTCTTATAAGTACACTAGAAGAAAGGACTCAAAAAGTTACTTCCTTATTTTTAAAATTATAGGACACGTTTTTTTATTTATTGAATCATAGCAGCAGCCATAGGATCTTAATCTAGGGTAGGAGAAGGATTTTAATGTACGAGATTATTTAATTCACAAGAAAAGAGAAAAATTATTATAATATACTTATAATGATCATGTAAATTATTAAATTAAGGATATTTTTATTTAATTAGTTTAAAATTTTTTCCCTCTAAATATTCTCAATTTTAGAAGGTTGTTAAAATTGCGTGAGAAAGAATATTTAACTTTCTTCCTTTTTTTTTTCAAATACTAAACTAAATATAAAAAGTTACAAAAATTCCGACCTCTTCTTTCCTTTTCTCCGGTTACCCTCCAACAAAAACATTGTGCAAAATTACGATTTAAAAATTTGAACATGTGACATTGGAGGTATGTTTGAAGTTAATGTCTACTTCTAATGCGACCAACTGTTCTTAGGTTAGAGGATCCTAATATGACTAAACATGTATAATTTGTAATGTTAAACTGAACAAAAGAATTAATCCAAATGCATGCAAGCCTAATTAATTATTATCTGATCTCCAACTAATAATTATCTTCAACTAATTCCAGCTATGACAATGTACCATTAGTTGCTTCGTTGGCAACAAGTCCTCCCAAAATATTCAATTGCAATATATAAATTATGAGATTAACCAATTAATTTATATAGATGACCTTCTTTTAGTTAGCAATATGTAAATATCATTAAAACAGTAAACTTATTCTTTTGCTAATAATCTTTGTAACAGAGCCTGAATTATGGGTGGTTGGAGATATCAGATAAATACAAACATGATGAATGTTGAAATTATGCCTTAGGCCCCACGTTCTGATCAATCTAACCGTTTATTTGGGTGATCCTTAATGAGTTTCTGTTTGTATTCAAGTTTGTTTTCAGATTGATACAGTAACTGCATTGAAAAAAAGGATGGGTATCTACTGCAGAATCAAGAAAAACTGCAGTACTATTGTTGGACCTATATATGAATTCTGAATTCAGATGTACACACTTCCTTACACACGACAAAAACTCCTCCCTACTCATACAATGGTAAATGAGACTTAGTTTTGAACAATCCTTCAACTTAATTTACATTACAAGGTCTGAATTTCATTGAGGATACAGCTTAAAAGGATGTGCGTATAAAGATTAGTTAATCGTTTTGCCTTCCAAAAGATTTTTCTTTCTTACGTGATGATGTTATTGGTTCTTGAAACTGTCAATTTTCATGATATTAATTTGAACACTACAAGTAAACCATTTAATATTTGCATCCATATATACACTAAATAATTGGTTGTTACGAAACTCCACCATACTGAACATTAGGGGTAAATTTAATAGAGAAAAGATTCCTTAAGACTTGTGTATATATATCTGTTTCTTAACTTGTTAATATACTTAGCAGTTAATACAGATCAGAGATACTAATCCATACCCAAATAGGTTCATGTGAAAAGGGACAAATCCATTAAACAATTATGTTATGTTGTTTGTCAGGGAATACGAGTGAAGTTTGATAAAATATATAACGAACAATACTCCATAAATTATTTGAATGTAATTAAACAGAAAAGAAAAAGAAGTGTATAACTAGTCTTGCTCATTTGAACTTGTTTATTTTTAATTCTTTGTTTCTATACGTAAGCTACATAAAAGGGATAGCAGAGTTATACATTTTTTTTCATACCCTGATTGTGCACATGTTAATTTGGAGGGTATATAGAACCTCACGTACACTTTGTATTGGTGAAGAGGTGATGTGTGTACCAGCTGTATAAGGTGGTATACATGGATTATACTATGAGCTAGTTCTGGTGGGATTGGCTCCAATAGAAAGCTACAAACTTTGTAAGTGGGTGTGAACATATGTAAATGCAAGAGATGTATACTAGATAATCTTTTGATGTTATGTTTATTTTTATTTTTAAGCTTTTGTTTTATGAAAATTTCTCATTCGTTGGGTTTAAAATTAATGTAGTATTAGATGGAGAGTACGAGGAATATATCTCTAACCCTTTTTTAACATTTCTGTTTCTCAAAAGTTTAATTGTGAAATTATGCTAATAAAAAAAAAATTATCATGAGTATCTTACAACAATACAATATTAGAAGTGGTACGTAGGATATGGGATCGATGACGTACAATTTTAATCCTCAATTAATCACAAACTCTTTTAGTTATTTATCCGATTGATCATTTAATCATTTATAAAAAAATGATAATTAATTATTCATTCAACTGATTTGATTGCTTTATACACATAATTTGGGGATAACAAAATTAACACTGGCTTTTATATTAAAAAATAACTGAAAAACCATTCATTTGGATCCTTTATCCAACTAATTAAACATATAATAATGCTTATCCTTTTTTTAATCTACATGATCTGTCCTTGTATTTTATTTTGTAAGACAAATATGATGGTCTAGGCAAGAAGTCTTGCAGTTTTCTTTTTACATTAAAGACATTTTTTAATTAATAATCAGAAACTAATTTTGTTAAGCCATAAATATGTCTAAATATCAAACTTAATCAACATATGTTGTCTTTATTATCAGAACCCTTTAATTAAGTGGAGTCAATTTAAGAATTCTACTCTTATCACCCATCCTTTAATAACCAAAATGCAATCATAACAAGTTTTTTCACGCTTCATAAGAGATTTCTTGTATGCATTCTAATATTATGAATATTATTAAGGAAAATTTTAACATTAATTTTTAGGACTGATTATAATTTTTTAAAAATAATAATTTTTATTAAAATTTATTATAATTAAAGTAAAAAAAGAAAAGAACGCTACACTCATATTTTGTTTTATAAAAAAAACTTAAAAATTAATACAAGTTTAATCCAAAAATGTGAGAGAGTAAACTTAAATTTGAGTGATTTATTTATTGAAAAAGACACTAATATAAGACTTTATTATCTAATAATGAGTGAGAAAAATTTTAAAAACTTCTAATAATCAAACTCAAACAAATAGTTCATATGCTTATATACTATTCCAAAGGTGGAACCTAATGGATATGTGGAATGATATAGTCACGTTGGATGTATCCGGTTGATAAATAAATAAATAAATTAAAAAACAGATCATATTTCTACTAGTTAATGACTTTTGTACTGTTACGTTTAGCTTTTTTCTGTACATACCTTTTTCTTTTTTGGTGGAGTCTCATGGTTACTTAACAAGGTACCCACTCTTCCCTACCTAGCTCCTTAACTACCCCAAGTACTGTCCCATGCACTGCTTACTAATGCATGAACGTACACATAAAATTCTCTCCATAATAATACAATGCACAAAGGTTCTTAATAATGATCATCGCTTTTGAAAGCCGGAAATAATCATATCGTTGATAAAATTTCATTTGAAACAACGTTATATAACATGGTCTTAGTTTATATACACATACACAACACGATCGAATGAATTAAGAAAAATTCACATGTTGCGTCACGCATACTGAAAAATAATTTAAAATACCAAAATCAAAATATAGGGGACAAATTAAAAAGATAATTAATTAGAATTGGAAGTGATTCATTCCAAAAGTATTTTCCTTTTAATTTTGCACTTGAAAGTTTTTGAAAAGGAAATGTTGTCTCCTTTCAACATCTGGATATGGCATAACTTTCAACAAGGACTTATATAGTATTTACGGATGATAACTTAGCCATAAAGAAATTTTAACAAAAGTCAAACACAAGAATTTTTAATTGATGCTTTTTGGTTTAATTAGTTGTGATAATTTAGTGGCCAAAGTACTTAATTAGATTTAACGCATTATACAAAAATGTTATTTACTAACAATTTATTGTTAGATTAACTTTTATTAGTATAGATTTTTTGTATTAAAAATAAAAAATTAATATAAAAATTATGAATTTATATGAACAATAAGATATATTATACTAACAAATAATTAATTTTATTTATATATAAAATATTTTATATATATATATATATATATATACACACATATATTACCGATACATCGAATATTATTATAATATATTATTTGTTGATATAATATTCAAAATTTATACCTAACAATTTATTTTTTATTAGATAAAGACTCTAATAAAAAAGATTATCTTAGCATTTGATAATTTTGGTTTGTTATTAAATAATATATTTATTTTTGCGGTGAAGAATCTATTTTTACCTCCGACATCTAAACTGATATTTAAGGATACATATCTGGTTTCATCAATGAATTTAAATCTTCTGTTCCTTTTATTTAGATATTTCTTTGTCTTACTAATTGAATGATGACAAATAAAAATAAAAAGAAAAGAAATGAAAAACTTATAAGTAAAAGAGAAGATATATATCAATTAATTAAGATTTTTTTAGTTATCAACATTTAATCAAAGATACAGCAACTGAATATTCGAATCCTTCACTTGTATACTCAGATTACGTGATGATGTTAATGACACAATATCACTCCAACTTATACTATCACGCTTTTAATTCATATAAAGCAAAATAAATCACGATGTCTAATGATAAAAGTATATATATGATCCATGTATCCAACATGAACATTTTATGCCTAAGATGCTAGAAGGGGAATAACAACTCTATTTAATTACTAATCAAAATTCTGATATTATTTTTTACACTTCACATGACGGGGAAAATAAAAAGGTAGGGAGGATGTGTTCGTAGTGAGAATTTTTCATATCTTTTTATCTAAAATGAAAATGAAGTAAATTTTTTTAGCATGCCAAATCTTACTAGCAAATTAGAAATACGATATGTGTGAAGGGTTAACAACATAATTATAATATCAGAAAATAATAATGTATGGAGCTTAAAATGAGTCACAAAAATAGAGTACTGCATGTTTGGATTTGATTATTTTTTTAAAAAATCTCTCAAAAACTCTTAAAAAAATATTTTATTTATAAAATAGATTACACCAAACAAGTATAAAACCTAATTTTAGTATAGCTAGCTTTTCAATTGGTGAAAACAACAGTTCAGAATAATAGTGGCAAAAGGGTGCAAATCGGTGATATGTGATAAGCTCATAGCCAAAAGATCATTACTACTAATTCCTGCAACGTACTACATGTAATAAACTCTAGCTATGATGCCAAGCTAGCATCGATCTTATATGGGAAAAAGAAAGAATGAAACACTTATGCAGCGAGTGACTTGTATATCAATTTTAGGCAATGGCCAACCTTAGGGACTCACTGGTCACCACCTGAGTTTAAGAGCTACTTCAAAAGCCTGATGAACTGAACAGGATTCAGGAGTGGGCTCTTTCATCCAAAGCATCTATTATCTAGATATTGGTCCCTAGCTAGCCATGTAGTACACATACATAATTCACAACTGCAGCAATAAGGGATGCATCATGCATGTGACAGTGTTTGCAGTACTCAACAGAAGGGCAGCATCTTCTTTTCAACTCAATGCGGTAAAAGATCAAATTCGTACCTTATTAATTTTTCTCACAGCAATAATAGATAGTTATAATGAGTTTGTTAAACCTACCCAGCTTTCCTCTAAACAAGGACTAATTTATTAATACCCAATACACCATGTCTCTCTATAAAATTAATTAATAATTATAGTTTCTATATACCACACCAAATGATCACAGGTGATAGTGCAGTGTCAAACAACAAATTGCAATTCACAAAACCACGATCTGATCAATCATAAACTAATCATCTTTCTAAACAACACCTCATAGCATGGCATATATTTGTATATATAATTCAATATACCAGAGTCAAGATCTACGTATATGTTTCCTCTCAAACCCTAACATGATCATCAGGCAAATCACACTAAATTAAGGTCCAAAATCGCTATTTAACTCAATATATCAAAGCAATCAAACTTGCGCCTGCACGTTTTGCAAATTGACATAACATATATATAATAATATATATTAATCTATATAATATATATTTTGGAAACCATTAGTAGCACTAACAGTAGTAATAGTAGTAACATAGTAATTAAAAGTAAAATTAAGAAGCTAGCATCAGATCATACACTTGTAATTATTTGATCCTCATCAGGAATGTTGACTAGTTGAGTCACGTCCATCATCTCCGTGATGTTGCCCCGCGCCGGCTGGAGACTGCGAAACACCGTTCGCCGGAATCTGCCTATAGGCATTAAGGGCTGCAAGCATGCCTAAATTGCTTTCACTTAGAAGCTGACTACAGCCACTATTACCACCACCGCCTCCCCCGCCACCAACGACGCCGGAACCTAGTTGTCCTCCGGGCATAAGAGACACCGGAGATGCAAAATTCATGAAATGAATCCCGCCAGGAGCAGACATAGCCCCTCTATATACCCCACTATTTGCAACAGAGGGAATTGCCCAAATGGGATTATCACTACCATTGCTACCGCCGCCACCATTCATACCTTGGTTACCATGACCCGCTACCATCCAAAACGCTGCCGTATTGGAAGCATGGCTTGAAGGAAGTGACCCTGTACTTGATTGTATCAAATAGCTTCCCATTTGTGATAGTTCTTGCTCTGGCCTTCTCTTTCTTCCTAAGCTTCCATCAGAATCTGAAGCTACCAATTCAAGACCGCCGCCGCCACCGGATTCTTCTCGAAGCTCTTGTTTGGCTTGTTGAATTACATTCACGTTACCAATAGGGTTGAAATTCAAAATTGCGGAGATGGAAGAAGTGTTCTCTAACATGGTCCTACGAGAATCCTGATCCATTACCATATTCATGTTAATGTTCATGTTCCGGTCCCACTCGGCGCGGTTCCTCAACTGCGCGGCGGCGGCGGATGTTGAGGAGAAGGTGCTAGGGTTGAAGTAGCTGCCGCGGAAGTAGTGCGACGGCGCCGACATGGTGGAGCCGGAGCTGCGGAGCGAGATGTTGAGGGAGGTGAAGTTGGCAGGAATGGTGCCAGTGCCCGTGGCGGCGATGACCGCCGGCTCCGCCTGCTGGAGGAGCCACTCTATGGTCTCGCCGTCAGACTTGTGTCCCAGCTCACGCGTCAGCTGGAACACTCTGGCGGCGCAGGCCGCCGGCATACGGATCCGGCGACCACGCCCGTCTACTTTTGTGTGGCGGTCTTTTGTAGAGCTCCGCTTTGGTGGCGGCTTCTTCGGCAGCTCCGCCAATTGGAGGTTGCTGTTGGGGACTGCAGTGGTGGCGGCGGCGCCGTCGTTTGTGGCAGTGGAACAAGGTTGTTGCTCTGTGACGTCATCAACATCCTTTTTTCCTAAAAGCTGGAGAGGAAAATTGGGTCTGCTTCGGATCCCATTTTGATGATCAGCTTCCAATTCCATGATCTTGTTATCTCATATAACCAAGCTTCTCTATAAGCACTTTATTTTTAAAAAAAATAAATGAATTGGTGGGGTTTATTTTAAAAAAAATCTTTTTTTTTCTTTCTCCTATCTGGTAGCTAGAAGCTATAGTGGTGTAGTAGTACTGCCACTAGATTTTTTTTTTCTTTTTTTTCTCTATGTTGTTGAGTGTGTAGCTAGGAGGTGAAGTGACCCTCAATTTCTATCGCTTAGTGGGCTAGTGGGTCTCTCTTTACTCTGTTTGTGTGTTTTTGTGGAGCATGGAATTCCTTTCAGATGGGAGCTTGCAGCTGAGTTGTTCTCTCTGAAGAGAGAGAGAGAGAGAGAATGAATGATAGAAGATAAGGGAGAGGAGGGCAAGCTTTAAGCAACAAAAATAATGAGTGGGAATAATAAGGGCTCAGTAAAATTTGAAAAAACACGGGTTTTCTCTTTCTTTTTGTTTTTTTTTATGGATGGAATCATTTTTTTTTGGTCTTCTCCCATTTTATGACTCTTGTTATTTTCAACAGTATCGAAATGGATCCATGTCTCAAGTTTTATTTTTCACTTTTCTCAATTGGAGGGACACAGTACAGATAATGTAAGAAAAGAATAGCACTCGTGAATAAAAACATTTTATATTCCGTGTTGTAGCTCATTTTAAAATTTTTTGTGTAAATCATTTTCTCTTGTTCTTATAATTTTTATTAAAATATATAATAAAAAACTGAATGCATTATTTACAAAAAAATGTTTTGAAAGACATATAAATTTTTTAAAACTTATGAAAATGTGATTAATTGATACTCACTGTTAAATATTGTAAAATAATACATTTATTAAAATGTTACAATTTGTATTAATTTAAACTAGTTTTGTTTTGATAGGCAATTGGTTGTAGCTTCCTTATAATCCTGTCAATTATTTTATTTTGTTTTTAAAAAATTATACATGATAAATTTTATCAATCAAATAGTTAAGTTATGTGATATAATTTTTCATAATTTAAACATTCATAAATGTGTAATGTAATAATAAATATTTATTAATATTTTTAATAACATTATAAATTAAAATAAAATGATATGGTGAGGTACTACTTAAGTCTTAAATTATAAAAAAATAAATTTAATCTACTTTATTATAACATTAAATCTAAGAATTAATTTGCAAAAAAAATATTAAAAATAGTACTTTGCATAATTTAATGCCTAATGTTAATTTATCCCATCTCGAGTCTACGAAGAATAAAATGAATACAGAGAATATTGAGTCAGGAGAATGCATGAACATTGTGAAGACTGCTTTGTAAATTCGGAATAAAGGGTTTTATTTTGTTACTTTGTTTGCCATTCAATTTTGGGAAAAAAAAAATCAAATGAAATAAAAAATAAATTATAAGTAATAAAAGTAAAATACAGGGTGTCATTTGATTGTGGTTGGACAGTGGACAGTCCCTTGATTCAGACTCCACGTGCGGTGCTCTTTATCATTCAATCCTTAAAGGCTGTGGTGGCCGGAATGGGACCCAAACTCCCAAGTCAAAAATAAACTAAGGCAAATAAAAGATAATCAAGTGGATCCCATTTTGTTCAACTCATCATTGCCCCTCATTCAGGGCTTCCCCATTGTTCTTATTTCCCTTCTTCTCACCCTCCTTTTCCTCATCCTCTAGGGTTAACACTAGCATTTTAGCTCTATTTATTCTTCCCACTGCTTTGTTTTTCTATCATTCTACTACTTTTCCTTGCTTTTCTCTTTTTTCCATTTATGATTAACATAAATGTCATGGTTTAACTTACTAAAAACAAATGTTAAATTACGTCATCTTGTTAATCTTTGTACTCATCAGCATGCCTGTAGTTAACATTTTTCTTTTAACAAAGCAACATGTTATATATCCCGAATCATAATTTGACAAATGCACTATATATTATATAAGTATCATAAAATAGAGTATAATATATAGACGGATATAGGTAGCCCATTTCTTTTTTTGGGGCAAATAATCTTTATTTAAAAAAAATTAAGAAATTGGTAAAAAAAATAATAATTTTTTTAAAATAAACTAAATTGAACTTGCACATGATTTTAGTTTCTTCCTTATCATCCCATTAACAAGCGTATACTGATCAATGAAAGGAATTCTCAAGTTGTAAAGCTAGTGCCCCAAGACTAGCTTCTCATAACATCATTCTTGATATTTACGCTGGTTTGCAATGTTGGCAAGCTGTTAGAAACTTAAATCATAGGTCATCAGCACTAGCTAACAGATTATTAGGGAATCTGATATTCAACTTGCGCTATCTTGGCCATGCTTTATTAGTGAATAAGCTTCAAGTTTTTTTTTTTTGGTTTACTTACTGTATTTTTTCCTTCTGTACCAAAATGAAAAATAAATTAATGAAATAGTTGATTTTGAACACGGTTTGGTATACACTCTGGGTTAATTAATGAATTAGCAAATGATTTTCTCATTTTTGACAGTTGCCAAGCTAACTAATCAACCTATATATGATGTAAACGCACTCATGTACATATAAATATATATGTGGTCCTTGAGAATTTTGATTTTCAAACCTCAAAACACTAAGATCTGCCTTTTCCAGAAAGTCATAAAGGTTCACGTCACAAAGAATTGTTATGTCATTGCTCGTCAACAACATTGTGGTTAGTATTAAAAAAATATAACCCCACTTTCTAAATCAATTTTGGCCATGAAACCATTTCTCCACTACTCCCTTGTTAGCTGGCTAGAAAATCTGCAACTTGACTTAGAAAAAATTATAATTATTCAAGCTTAACATTCATGAGAGAGAACATTGAAGCATGGCACGTGTCACCCCATGTGCCCAAAAGGCCCAAGTGTAACTTTAAAGGGAACAAACAATGGAAATAATATGACACCGCAATGCAATGGCATAGTACAATTACATTTCAACAACCAACATACCTAACAAAATGATGAAACAATATCCAACACTGCAATTATATACACTGTACTATGTGGTTTAGAAAAGATTAATTAATTAAGATGTAACATTATTTGCACGTCACTAAGAGCAGTTTTTGTATTCCATAAGGATAATTTCCCTAACTGATGATTTGCGTCTCAAACTTCCAATTATTTTTGTTTGATTCGTACCACAATTAACTTTGCTCGGTTCTAAATGACACTTAGTCATGTCATTCCTCTACAATCGGAGATGCACTTTTTTACCCACCATGGCCATGCCAACAATTGTTGATGCCTTTGAGTCATTCACATGTAACCAAAGGTACACTTTGATTTCTAAGAAAAGAATCAATAGTATTTGTGTGGGCTGTCTCATGCATTGTCACTATAGCAAACGACACAATCACGTTCTGCTCAGAAATCTAATGGGGCTGATCATTATTTTGCCTGCGTAACAGCAATCTTGCAAGCATGTTCATGCAAGTGAAGCACAAATTACACTAGCGTAATCACATGTGTGTATGATGTAACATTTAGCTCATAATTTGAGAACATAAAGGGTTTTGTTCCACACATGAATTAATCAAAATGCAATATTTCCGATGTTGATCATATAGCTGATATATGTGCCCCCTCCCCAGAAAACCGCTTAAAAACTTCTCTTAGGTATGTGCCATGCGCATCCAATTATAAATTAGGGCCGCAAATACTACACTATGCAAATGCAGGATGAGGATATTATGTGTGTTTTCCATTAATCTAATGCAATTTTTTAATAAATAAAATTAATACATTATCTTCTATAATCAATATCTTCAAATATATTTAGGAGTTGAATTTTGAAGAAAAGGAAAGAGGATGGCAAATTTTTATCTTTGAATTAAGAAGATTATATAATATTTATAAAAATAAATAGAATATTAAAAAATTAAGATTATATTAATTTTATTTTTTACTTAAAAATTATAAAATTTAAAACTATTCATTGAAAAAAAAAATAAAAAAATTGTCTCCCTCTCTTGTTTAAAACTTAACTCTCAAACACACTCTTAATGTTTATCATTTTATAATTATATCATTCCTTTCTACATAGAAATAAAAAGAAAAAAATATTTCATCTCTTTTTCATTGTGATTTACTACCTTAGTTAAGACTTAAGAGACAAGGAGTGAATGTACAGGAAATGGAGTCCTCATCATGGGGGCAAAGGACTAGTACTTGTTGATGATCACAAATCAAAGTTTATTTTTTTGCCAAAGTAGATGGATCACGTGCTTTGCTACCTATTTATGCCGGTGATGAGGATGGCTTACCATCCATATCAGCTCAATCATGCACAACAATTTTGTCGGAATATTGGTGGTTATCGAGCTATAAATAAATCGTTTTCGTCCCATTTTTGGTCAAGCCGGTCACTCGTTTGGAATGGTGCAAATCCAACGCCTTCTCTTATCCTTACTATATATTATTCTATCGTAATTCTCAATCTCCTTCCTACACATAAAAGATTATTTCACGAAACGTATAATCTCTATTGCTATTCTAATGATTGGATGATATATACGAAAAATTAGATTTATGGTGCACCATACGGCACTTGTAATTAATAATTTGATGAAAAGGGATAGCCATCGAAAATAATGAACCTTTCAGAAGGCAAAACGTAAACATGCATTTTTCGCTGAAAAAAGCAATAATATTATTGCCCTGAGAAATTGACTTATAGCTGTATAAGTTCTAAGGATTTACAAGGAATTTCTTTAAATATTTGATCACTTTTTGAATTTTTTGTTAATATTTAAAGATTAAAATTTAATATATACATGCACGCAAGCAACCTTTAATTGATTTGGGTTCTAAAAAAATAGCACCCGTATTTTTTGTGCTAACTATTGTTTGATTAGTAAGAAAGAACACACATGGAATTAATAGTTAAAAACGTTGTTTGCACTGATAAAATGAGATATTTTTTATTCTTTCTTTTATATTAATCATGGGAAATATTTTTAGGATATATTATACAGAAAAATGATCAAAATATTGGTTTTATTTTAAATTTTTAATCAAAATCTTCAAAATATTAACTAACGTCGATAATAAATAAAAAAAATGACATATAATAATATCATATATTATGTCAATGTTTAGTAACATAAATCACCAACTTGTGGAACAATAGGTGGCATGAACAATCTTAAATTCCAAGGGCAAGAATGGCCTTTGGAAAGGTTAAAAAGAAAATGGAATGACAGGTAGGTTAACAGGCAGTGTAATTATTTATGAGATTGCAATAATAATTTTAATGGAAAGAGGCAATGAGAAAAGAAGAAAGGGGTTTTCTTTTGAAAAATAGAAAAACTTAAAAAATGAATGGTGTTTAGATGCCGTACCC